AGATCAAACAAAAGGTGAGATTAAAACAATCAACTAAAAATGAGGGTAAGTGTTTGAAGTCATGCCCGTTTATTCACCCTCCGTTTACATAAGCTAAAAGACTATTTTTTTGAGCGAAAAATCTTCGTCACGTGAAGTACTCAGGAAGATACCGATTCATAATCCGACATTTGCAAAAAAAGTTACCTTGCCCGGATTCACTCGTTTTGCTAGGCTCAGCTCTACCTGTGAATGAGGAGGACGTTGTCAGCTGGTTTTATGCTGCCAGGAGGCTACGACGAATCGCACTTCCTGATTGCTCTCCAGGCAGATGTCACCTCGAGTGATAAAAAGTCGGTGATTCCTTTGAGATTAATTAGTGGACCTGGAGAATTCAACAAATAGACTGTATTCTGAACAAACGTCAAAAAATAGGTGTCTTCACCAAAATCAAATAGCAATGTCAAGTGCCGCATTGGTGGAAAAAGAACGTGTTTTCATTGGATACGTTGCATACGGCATGAATGACGTTTTGTTTCCTGTCATAGTTACGATTGTCCAGATAACTATATTATACCAGTTTTTGCGGAAGTAGTGTTCATGAATACATAAATCTCTAATAATAGAATTTCTTAATTTGGATAAAAATCCTGTAAACGGGCATTACGTTTACTGCAATTTGATTTTCGAGAAGATAACTGTCATCTAGCCACTACAATGCACATATGCTAGGCGCTTTTCTTTTTATTCAACAAAAACTAACCAATGTCTATTATTTTTCAATCCCCAAGGGAAAGCAATTTCAGAAAAGAGAACTTTATGTAACCTTCAAAATGGTGCTTGCAATGGTGAAAGAAAAAATTCCGGGCAAATTGTGTGGCATTGTCCTTGTTCCTATTCCGTCATATGCATTTACATTTCCACATAGTGCAACCTCTCCCATCGACAACTCAGTTACTAAGTAAATGATGCAAATATGTGTAAACTGAGACCGTATGAGAACACAATTTATGCTCTCCTCGCTAAAACCCAAAAAGGCGTTGCCTTCACATTTAGGTTGATTGAAATCGAGATCGGCCCAGATCTACAGCTCCAGGAGCATGAAATATGGCATCAGTTGTGTGGATTTCATAAGAATGGGCCAGATAATCCAAAAGGTACGTGTGAATAAATTCTAGAAGTAAGGAATGTCGATACATCTGGAGGTGGCACAGGAGATTCGGTCTGTTTCCATATCAGACTTTATGCACACCGTGGTGATGGTGGCTGCTTCCAAGATCATCTAGCTTCATACAACTGACTATACTTGACGTACCAAAGCAGACATGTGACCTAGTTGGGGCAGTTGACTTTTGGGTGCATGTTTAACTTGTTGGTTAAGTATATTCGACACTGCGGTCAGCCATTTTGTTGGCATTTGTGCTGGTTTTCAATGAACGAACTCAACTGCGAATAGTTTGTCTTCAGTTCTGTATTTACGCAACCCATGTCCCACCTACGTCCAGCTCAAAACCATCTTTGGTTCCAAAAGCGTTTCGCATAAAATACTTTCAAATTGAATAGCTCCCACAAGTTGCCCAAAGGTTTCAACGCCATAGTTCCACAGGCGTTAAAGTCAACAGCTTCGAATATTATTAAATTACTTCTGTGACATTACAAATATCTGACCATAACGTGATCACAAAATAGCCAGTTGATAATTTTCCAATATCCACTATGCTTACTGGCCTTACTCCATACGATTTTACTCGGTTTCACTTGGTACAAGTATAAACTCGCTTGTTATATTTGGTGAGAAAACCAAGTCCCATAACTAGGAAGGAAGAGTAGACGACCGCTGTTTCCGCATGAAGTGTACACGAAAAGCATCAAAAGCGTTGGTTATGTACCCTCACAGGTCAACTAAATTTACCAGTAGCCAATGAGAGTCCCTCGAGAAAAGACATTTGTGCATCAACGCTCCAACGAGCTTGGCCACGCTAGTTGACCTTGTTGTGTTCATCCCAGTGCAGCTTATACTGGTTTCAACTTGCACCCACTACAGCCAAGCACGTGATTTGACCGGTACCGTATGGAAGTTTGGTTGTGACACAAATCCATATTAGCAGACCAGGCTAACTTGCAAGCTAATCGCACTTCCCCAAGACTATTACCCAAAACTACAGCTGAACGAGTGTTAAAAGAGCATCCAGGAGTTTCGAATATACCTTAGGTACGCACCAGGACAGTTGGTGATTTTCTGCGGTGCACTCCTAAGTAAATGTTCCTGGGAAAAGATGCTAGTACATCTCTGAGTCGTCTTCAGACAGAATTAGTCATAATATGGACTATATCGTACTTTGGTGGACTGCCATCATAGAGACTGGTATTTTTAACGTTGGTGTGAGTGATCAAAATATATTCATAACTAGCATATTGGTAATGCACAAATCTTGTGTTTCACGAAACCTTGTGTTTTTTGTGGTTGACAAAAAGGCGTCCAGGTAAAGGCACTGATTAATCCTGATCAAATGTGCAGCATCAAGCTTTATGTCAGTTATTTATTCGAGTCCTCCAAAAATATGATTTTATACAACAGATGGCTATTATTAGGTTAATTGCGTTTATATGTATCTGTATGGATGCTCCTTTTCACTTACTTTGTAAAAAAATAATATATTTTCATACCGAGTGCACAGAACCTCATTTATTAAAACAGTTAGGGTACACTGTAAATGTGCTAATACATCCACGAGAAACTACTTTAAGATATAACTTTACGTCTACATTATGCTAATAATCCTACTGAAAATGTGCGGTGCTCTTGTGGATCATTGATATTCGATAAACCCATTGCGTTACTTCGTGGTTTTGTGTCAGCTTCAATGGCGGCCGGAACTCTAGCGCTATAAATCACATAAATTCTCAACATTTGAGAAAAGCTTTGTCTTTTTTCCTTCTAACTCCAACAGTATTTTTGTCTGTCAGTGCTGCAAATTTCCTGCAATTTCATTTTCTAATGATTTTACTCGCCCAGGTGTCTTGCTCTCCACTTTTTCGCTTTAGATAATTATTGGTTACGCAATGAAAATTAATTAAATAGCATGTCGAACACTGTTTGAGGGTCTCAACGATGGCCAAGCACATTTTGCGGCTCCTTTTTCAAATGCCTATGCAGGACTTTTTATAAATAAAAAAGATTGGAATCACACATCACAGAGCATATTCTATGCGATGAACTCATTTAATTACTGACTATTTGAATTAGCCAACCATCCATGCATCAAATTCTGTATTTCGTTTTCTGAATTATTGTTTTGATCTTAGGTTTTTTCAGATATAATTTTGCTGATTAAGAGTTATCCAAAATTTGATCATCGTAAACTATAATTTAGGGAAACACGTGGTGTAATTTAAGCGTTATTTAATACGTTAACCCGGTAACAACATTAAGCACGATAAATCACGACAACCATATCAGTGAAGAAGGAACTGCCTGTACATTATAGTGAAAAAATCCACCTACTGATGTCAGAGTCAAAAGAAATCTTAATTAATTTTTTCTTCGAGTCAAAACACGTAATTGCGTTTGAATAAATGCGTTAGCAGCAAGAATTTGCAAGGTAAATAGGCTTACCCACAGTTGTTTCTCCGTGAATCGCATCGAGCTAATTCGAGATTTATTCTACGAAATTGGATAGCGAAACGTAATTTACTAAGTCAATGCATGAGTTTTCAATTCTGCTGAATAAGTCTTATTAGCTTTACAACTACTGGCGACATACATACGGTGCAGATTCCCACATATTTACGCAAATTGACGGAACTTTCGTCTTTAGACTCCGGATCTATTACAATAGACTACCTGTTTTGGTTTCTTTGTCTTTCGATGACCTTTAGTTGTCCCAGAAATCAAAACAGGGTAAAGCTTTTTTTCAAATGAGTTTGAAAGTCTGAAATAGATAGGTACCATAATCCGGTGATGTAATACAAGACAGCAAGTTTGCACCCACCGGCTCCAGAATGACCTATACTGCGTTTTCGTGATTATCAAATTCACTCTAATAACTTACCAGCCTTCGCTTAATTTTTCCCACTGTCTACGGGAGTCGTTAGAATATTTAATGTAGAAAATAGGCCAGGAATTTCTGTTTGGACTCGAGAAGGATGGTGCGGACAGATAGTAATTACAAATTCAAAAATGAACACTTCAGACTTGTCAGTTGATAGCACCGTCACAAACATGACTTTGTTGGTCGTTTTTTGTAAGCACAATTGGTTTATGATTGTTTGCAGATATCCACTTAGAATTTAAAGTATATGTCAAGCTTTCTAAAGGCGTAGAATAGCCCAAGGATCTACAACTTTTAACCGAAGTGTTCATTCGTCGCGTTGCAGTTTTATTTGCCTAACTTTATTATTATTCGGGGACTATCAGTTTTTCTATCTAAGTTATATTTGTGTTGCTGCGATCCATTTCTTTTTGGTAATTGCAATTTGAGACAATTCCAATGATAAACAAGAACTCAAATTCTTTCTCGGCATTTCAAACAAGTGTCGAAGATGCCTGGGAGGCGGACGATGAAGAGTATTTATCATTGATATCAAAATCAGGTATTCTTGGATAGCGTGCCTTTTATTTTTAGTTGCCGAAAGAACCGCACAAGAAGTTCTAATCAGACACTCAAGCGAGTCCCAAACGGTAAATGCCAATTATTAAATTTGTGTTTCTATTACTATGTGCATCTCCTTTCAAAATGAAACAAATCCATACTTCTTTTTGTCCGAAAAATTTCATTGAATACAAAATATTTTGAAATAACCCCTTTTGATTGAAACGGACGCCTGCCAGAATGGAACGTCCTGGAACCAGATTTTTATCTGTATAGACTCTCGTAAATTAACACCATGACGTAATGATGACTATGTTAACTCTCTTTTATTACACAAATTCCCCTGTAGTCCAAATAATAATATAAACTTTGTGAAACGTTTGCGTTGTAACGCTCTCGGGCATATATTATTTGATTCCTAATTAAGGCACCATTCTTAATAATAACCAACAACAGTAATTTATTGCCCTAGACCTTTGCTTAGGTTGTTTTTCCGGGTTTATTTTATAGTCCTTTGCATCAAAGGCATGTCTTCGTGCTGCCGGGAAGTTGGCTCCCGGATGCGGCATTCGACTTGATACTAACACGGATTCTTCACTCTCTTTGGCGCAACCCTCTGTTGAATGTCGTATTGAGCTGTTTCAAGCGCTTATAAATTCCCCATTCACGGACTTAGGTCTGATTTTGCTTCCATTGTTTTCGGAGCTTTGAGACCAACAATTGAACCTGTGTAAATTTGCTTTTGCAGATATCTTGCGTAAACAGTCATGGTCGGGAATCCCGCAAGATGTCCGTTCTACCACGTGGAAACTCTTGTGTGTAAGTAGCACTCGATTTAAATAGCATTTCTACGCCAGTTCAACTTCCGATTCCTCCTGTTCCTAGGATTACTTGCCAGCGTCTTATGATAGACGATCCACGACGTTGGGCAAAAAACGCCAACAATATTCGGACCTGACTCTGCAGTTTTTTAATCTCCGTAATGGTCACAGTGGTTCGGAAATATTCCGACAAGTACAAAAAGACCTGATACGCATGACAATGCTACAAAAACGTCAAGATATTTTTGAGGTGAGTTTTCATCTTTCGAGTTACAAATGCAGTTTCTTATTTTTGCTTGTTATTGTCCGTCCATATCAATGCACATTTATTGTTTCCGTTTGTTTTTCATTAAATTGCACCTAGTTTGATCACATTTGGTAATATGCGTCTTTTTTCAGTTATTTGAAAGAGTATTATTTAACTGGTCAATACGACATCCTGGAAGCGGATACGTCCAGGGCATAAACGATTTACTTACACCTTTCGTTATTGTCTTCCTTTCCGATTACGCCAAGACAGGTAAGCTACCACTAATTGGAATGGTCGATTCAAAATACAAATGATGCTCTGTGCTTAGTATCTAACGTGGCTTCTTGTTGGGTCTTTTATGAACTTATTGTATGATGGGATCCACTTGTTTTCTCCGGGTTTCCATTACTTTAAGTCAGTAAATATCTTGTTCCGTCTTCCCTCCATTTCCTTCAATTTGTACCTACAATCTGTAGCTGGTGCAAGCATTTTAATTGATCTTATGCAATGTTTCTTGTGTTACTTCCTGATGAAACAAATGAGTTATTATTAAGATCAGAAACAATGCTTACTAATGTTTTTTTACCAAAAACAACTGGCTTGGTGTTGCTCATCTACATATTTTTTAGCACAAGAAGAAACCATAGTAATCGATTTTCTTCACGTATTTTAAAGATTCAAGTCCCACTGGAGTGGATATTTTACTTCGTAATATTGACTCCCATACTATTACATAAGTGTATGGAATAATAAAAACAATTTCCCTGCTGTCAACGACACCTGACATTAGTACTGTAGTAGTCCTCACACGAAAAAAGAAAATAATTTTTAACTGTACTTATAATCTTCCTAAATTTGAACCATTTAAAAGTTATTTTGTGTCATATTGGACATTCTCAGAATTGAGTTCTGCTGGTGAATTGAAGTTGTCTAAGGCGATCACAAAGGAACAGCTGCAAGAGGTTGAGGCTGACGTCTTTTGGTGCGTTTCAAGGCTACTGGATACCATTCAGGACAACTACACTTTTGCACAGCCAGGCATTCAAAATAATATAAACAAACTGAGCAGTCTCATTGAGCGTCTCGATGCTGAGTTGCACCGACATCTGCTCAATCACAAGGTTGAGTACCTACAATTCTCATTCCGGTGGATGAATAATCTTCTCATTCGAGAATTACCCCTACGCTGTATCATCCGGTTATGGGACACTTATATGGTGCGCAAGTTATTTTCTGCTTTTTTAGTTTAATTGGTTAATTTTTCTTACCTAATCTCTTGTTACATTAAAATGTTCTTGAAAACCATATCTGGGCGGCTTCAGCTAAGCTGAATGAAAACATGTTGGTACCACCATTGGCTTCGCAACCCGTTAGTGTGTGCACAAAACTATTAAGTGTTTATCTGTGCTTTGATAATTGAGAAAAACTTCTAACACCCGTATTTGTAGTCTGTAGTTTCAAAATCAAAAAGGTCAGTCTATGAGCGGCATCCCAAAAATTTTAATTCCTTTTTTTGATTAAGTACATTATGCCTCCTATTAAGCGTTGTGGGTTCTTTTTCTCGCTCAATGTTATCATTATCAAGAAATTAAGTGGCTTCTATTCTTTTTCAGTCCGAACCTGATGGATTTTCTCAATTCCACGTCTACGTGTGTGCAGCTTTCCTTTTGCGTTTTAAGGATGGTCTGATGCGGCAAAACGACTTTCATGGCTTGCTAATGTATCTTCAGTCTCTACCGACACATCGCTGGACAAATGATGACATTGAAATGGTGCTTGCACAAGCTTTTCAGTATAAAAGCCTGTTTTCTCAGGCGCCGAAGCACTTGGATTATCAAAAAAGTGATATTCATTAGAAACGGTATCGAAATACTCGACTTTACCTCCCTCTTACTTCCACAGTCTTTCTAAATGGACCCTCCTAACATTTGTTTCAAATCTGCTATACTACTTTGTTTTGTTAACTATGTAAATAGTTATAAAATATACGATATGACAAATTAGAGCAATGTCAAGCAGTGATGCTTATACATTATTTGTCAGTTGGGGTGGTTTACTACCATGGAAGTCTTGCGCCTTTGCAGTTTCCTCAAAATGTCGGGCTCTCAACGGATTTATTTGAATTTAAAAAGATCTGAGCCATTATTCATACTTCGACATGCAAAATCTATTTAAAATTGACATAACCGTATATTTATGAATTAAGAATGGTGAGTTCTTCTTGTTCGGTGGCTTCACTTAAGTTATTTAGCATCCGACCGATATACTTTGAAAATGACTCTCTCAGAGAATCACTATGATTCGGAAGACGTGACTTAATTACTGATAGCTTGTTAAGTGTTGGTGCTAAAATTGGTTAAGAAATTGGAGGAAGTCTTACGGAAGTGCAAGTCATCTTCGTCGGGAGTTTGTGAAACAACATTTTGCATTAGACAACAGTTAACATCCTTCACAAGCGAATGTGAAGTAGCAATCTCATACCTTATTTCAAATTGTCATAGATTCAACTTACCATTCCTCTAACTCATTTGCATGGTTAGCGTGGCTGTTATTAAAAACAAAGACGATCCCATGAGCGCCTTTAAAAATGGCAGGCCAGCAGCTCTGATATCGCTTATTTCCACTCATGTCCCACATTTGTAACTCAACTTTTGTTGGTTTGGAATTGTGGGAGGCCATCAAGTCATATTCCAATATTCTAGAATTTCTGAATATTTTGTAAAAGCGTACCGAACACCTTTTGTTGGCCTATATTCGCAATTCCCTTGCTCTATTGCATCTGACAAAGCGTTTGCAATAAATGACTTTCCAGACTGCAATTTAGCTTTCATGAAGATAACTCACCCCAACTGAACCGGCAATAACAAGCTTAATAGGGTTCATGAGTTGTCGTGGGCTAAATAGTTCTAGTGCGGCAAAGCTCCATGAGAGCGAAGGTCACAGGGGTTGAGGTGAGAGCAATTGACATGGCAAAAGTTCAATCTCAGTTACAAATATGCGCAAAGAACATAAACTATTTCGCACAGAAAAATCGTCTTTTAGCTTATGTAAACGCAGGGTGAATAAACGGGCATGACTTCAAACACTTACCCTCATTTTTAGTTGATTGTTTTAATCTCACCTTTTGTTTGATCT